TCAATACACAGGTGTCGGAAAGGACGGCCTCTGCAGCAAGGTGAGTGGCGGGTACGAATAAGCAGAACAACTGGAGATCAAAAGTACACAGGCGGAGTAAGCAAATGAGTGGGGGAATTATCATAAGGTCAAGTTAGATTCAACGCAATTTTTATTCATGCTCAAAGCCAAGCGCAACAAGATATCAGCGAAGGCTTAATAAAAGTGGAACGAACGAGATACTCAGTTCCGTCGACTGTGGAGCACCTCCATAGTCCACTGCACCACCACACTCGTAGCTGCATGTCGGACATGCGAGATCAAAAAAAGTACACATAAAAATCACTCGACTAATGTTGAACCCTTTTACTGAAGCGTACTGCTTTGACAAAGCCTCACTCATACGCAAAGGCAATCCTCTGGTCCAAGTAATACGGCTGACTTCTCACCAAGGACGTCCACTTCAGAGACTCAATTCCTCTGCAGATCCTACACCAAACGTTACGATACGTACAGGAATCCACTTCTTTGTTCTATTGTGTGTTCCAAACCACACAGAGAGCCGTTGGCCTCTATCCAGGACACTATTGGTGATTCGAACCCCACGGCCTTACTTAATCAATAAAGTAGAAACCATCAGCTGAGTGCCGTTAATCCCGTTGATTAAAAAAGGTCGAAGTCACATGAGTCACAGTAGATCTTTACTATGAAGTAACGGAACATTACACTTCCCCTTTCACCATTTTGAGTTCCTAATTGGACATAGTTCACGAATTTTCATGAGTCATGCTTTGTGTTCACTACTCAAAACGATGTTAAGGTATGGCTAATGAATCATCCGTTTGTGACGTTTCAACCGAAAACGGTGTTTGACCGTTACAGGGTTTCAATCAATTCTTATACATGGCTTCGAATGAAGGAGAAATGTTCCAACGTCTCGATAATTAACTCAGTAGAGAGAGAGACGAATTAGCCCTAATTTGTCTACAAGCTAGCAAAACCGAGATATCTAGCTAGGTCTCCCGTTTATACCCTTCTAATATGTCGTTGGTCAATTCGCCAAGCTGGGCAGCTCGAATGCAATCAAATGCAATCAAAGTGCTCAGCTCAGCGAACAACCCAACGACCATCTACGTTACCTGAACGATCAAAATTTTGCTCGTAAGGAAACCCTCCTAAGTGATAAACAGACTTTTAAACCTACATGTTGCCTTCTTTCCGTTAGTACGAGGATATTTTCGTCACTCTGCCAAAGAAACCTGTCAATAACAGCCACATTCGAAAGCAATATCTGTTCAACGTTTGAGGGTATTTAAACACTGCTACCCGTTTTGTTGTCTCCAGTTAATTCTGATTCGCGGGTTTCGTGGTTTGACCAGAGAGAATTTTTCATTAGATTCTAGACGTTTGGAAGGCATTAGATATTTTTGGCAGCATTCGATAGCTTGGCGTTCCAGCTCACATTAATACGACCAACACAAATTATTAGTTTTCCCTTGTATGAATCCGGTTTTTTGCTTCGTTCAGTATGACCGTCACAATTTATCAGAAATATAAATGGCAGCTTGTGGGGCAGATCCTCAAGCCATGAGTTTCGAGTTGTTACCTTTTGGAATTTTTGAGCAATTCAGATTTGAGGGCACATGCCAAACTAAGTATAAGAACCGCTCCATCGACGTGTCCGATTGTGTTTGATCCATGTCTCGGGAAGAATGCGCCCGATGCTTACTCCCTAACTGAGAACATACTCGAAATGACAGATTACGCTGTTTCCACACAAAAAGTTGAAACATGAAAACTGTGGCTGATATCGGCTTATTTTTTCTTACGTTTTTAGGTACTTCAGCAGAATCCAAGAAATTCTAAAGGAAAAGTAAACAGCACAAAACTTAGTTGAATTTGAGTGGAGGTTCGCTATATAGGATAGAAAATCCTATTGTTTATTCTGAGGCCTCATACATGCCGTTTATTCCACTATCACCCAAATGAACTAAGTGCAACATGTAGGTTCCTAATACGGGGCAAATTCAAGGAAATCCATCTGCAATACAGGAACTTAATTGTATGCTTTTTGTTTGGGAAGATCCCCGCGAGACTGTTCAACAACCCTATTTATTGATAAGTTTTCTGAGCAACAGGCGACAACTGTCACTTCACAGTTTTCTCTAGAAAGCCAGTCGCAGAATTTCCCACACTGCGCTCTTCTAAAACACTAACACTGACGCCATTCATAGTACGTAGAGCTATGCGATAGCGTAAGCGAAACAGGTAGCGGGCCATGCAAGGGGATCCCAAGGAAAGACAAGTCAGGAGAACATAGGTGGGATTTAGAAATTCCCTTCAGTAGACGTAAAGTATTTGAATTTCATGCATGCGGCAACATGGAGAATATATCGATTTTGTGTGAGGCTATTTTTGAGCAAAAAAGGGGTTTTTGTGAATATCTTTGCTAAGACTCGTTGGGTGCTTAATAAGATCCATATCCCCATTAGAAAAACTTGTCCTTGTCTGAATGCTCTAGCGGAGTGTAGTGATAAAGGAAGTAATCACAAGCACAATACATTTTAATCGAATTTGCCGACGCTCAGATAATTTTGCTACACGCTTGTAGGTGTGCCGACCTAATTTCTGCTGCCACTAGTTAAGCAAGATAAATTTCGAACCTCCGGAACACAGGAATGCAATATATATATATATATATATATATAATGACTGGTATCAATAACATCAAACACCCGGATAAAAGAGACAAATTAAAGTGTGAGGAACAGCTTTCGATTACACTAGTTTAGACTTAATACACTACTCGTAAGGTTGCTGGAAATTATTCCTCAGCCCATGACCGGTTTCGCCCTTACAAATAGGGCTGATCAGACGGACGCAGTCACGGGGTTTTCATTAACCTTATGTTCTGCTTGAATCCGAACTGAATGGAATTGGCAAAATGCTCTCAGTTGAACGCTAATTTGGTTTTAATCGCGTATTCAAGTGAATTCTGCTATATCTATCACTCAAATGAATACGCCTGCTACATTCATTTGAAGAACACCATCATAAACCAGGTGTCGAAATCAAATTAGCATTTCGTTGTTTTCACAAGTTCTAATTTTCGGAATTTCGACAAATAGTTCCAGATCTCAAAGCTTTTTAGGTCCCTGTCCCCTGTATTCGGGAGCCCAAACGGAAGATGTTTCCGCGTACCTTGATCTGATACGGCTGAGCATTATCGTGCCCCCAATGAGAAAGGCTCCGCGATGAACACGTGCATCAGAAATCCATTCAGTCGAAAGAGTTTCATGCACACACCTCACGTATTTACTAGGGAGGATGCCCAAATACGCCTAACAGAAAGACAGCAAGAACCATCGCAATGTGAACAAACAGCTTGGCTATCATTGCCAGGAGAGGATTCACGAACAAATATTAACCAGATTTAACTTAAAAAGCTGTAGCCTGGGAAAAAAGAGATATATGATTAAATTTGGCTGCCAGACCCGTGGAATATGTAATTCAAAGGAAAAAGAAGTCCTAGCATTAGTCCTTGCTGCGTAAATGCACGACAAGGACTCCACCGGACACAGGTTACTGCATAACGAAAGCCTTCTTCCAGATGATGCACAGACCAAACTGTTCGGCAACGCTACAGCAAAAGTACCAGCTAGACGCTGAAGCCCACCATTCACATGTGCAAACAGTATGGTGGTCTCCAAGCATAAGAATGGAGACCTTAATTCGCCAGCCCGAAATTCTCGCACCAGAATGTCGAATACTGAATAGAACTACATCAATCCGACACTCAAATCACGTGCCAGCATTTGCATCCAGAAAAACTGCATCCACCGTGGCCGTTACACGGAAGCTGCAGCAAGGATGTACCCTGTTCCACATCAGTGACGAATTCAAGACCCTTTGAAATTTGGCTATTCGTGTGGACCTTCGTTCCAATTCCGTCAGGTAGATTTTGGATGAGATTGGTGAATTTTATTAGATCGCTTTATTTGGGGGAGTCTTGTTTATGGAATTCCCCAGTTGATGTAGTCAAAAGTTTCGCTGAATTCAACGGACTGGTATTCGCCGGGTAAAGGAGTTAGTGGAATTTTCCTAGAGGCCACCATACAGCAATTACCAGGTGTATCATGTTACGACCAGTATGGGTTCCGCATAGCTCCTCTAGGATATGCGATTCAAACACTTCGGTACTCAGGTGGTTAAGTCACAATGACAGTGGGATATCAATACTACAGGTGAGCAGCCCAATAACCCACTACGAATCCGGTGACATATTGCTTCCTTCTATTCGGAAAGTAGCAAGACTGAAGTATCCTCGACTTGTAGTGGGGTCTTCTGTTCCTAGCAGTTGTTGCAGGTCACATGAAGTTCGTTCTCCAAAATCACGTCATAATACTTGGAGAGCTGTGTTGGAAGCATATCGTATTCGTTTGCCTTGCTACCGCATAGTTGGATTTTCGTTTATCGGACGACCATTATCTAGGTTACCGCTTGACCATTTGCTTCATGAAGTTGTATCGTTGGGTCGCGTACGTCCGATCGTTGCTGACCATCACCCATTGACGGAGGAAAATTTTGACCACCCACAACTGGAAAATGTGTGTTAGGATCTGCTGTCCTTTAATTCAGGAGTAGAAGTCGCGGGCGGCTCTGTTTTTTTCGAAGCGCAATTTAATATAGGGCTTACTACTCTGGAATCAACGCTTACAACCTAATTCTGAACATGCCGACAAGCTGAACAGCAAACAAGATTCAACTCGTACCTCATTGTAAGGAGGGTCAACATTCTCTGCGCACTTTAACAAATCGTCCCGATGCAACTTTATCCGGAGACCAGCCGCCCCTGACAGCCGAACATCACATCTTTGGACGGAAGTCATGTGCAGGCTACGGACCAAACGAGGGGATGCCCTGATTGGTCAGGATGTCAACCAATCAGGTTCGAGCCTCCTTAGCTCGACGCCTCTCGCTCCTTCACGGAGACTACCACGACCTTGTGGAACACTCTGTGATTACGCTATAGATACAGTTGTAATAATTTTCCTTTGTCTCAATAAAGGGCTGTGTAGAGCTACCGTGCCTTTCGATATACCATAGTGGGCGGAGAGGAAGACAGGGGATCGATGCAGAGTTGCACGACCGCTCAACAACAATTTTTCGCCGAACAAGGCTTCGATTGCCAGCGACACTGGAATGAGCAAATCAAAAGTGACGCCACTTCCCTGTTATGCGCCGCCCGCCACAGAACAGTTGTAGGTGCGCCTCAAGCTATCACTGATTTTAACCCCGGCTGCGACTCGCGCTATTAGGTGTCCGTTACTAATGCATCTGACGGAAGGCTGTCCGGCTGCCTATGTCAGTGGGAAACGACAGCAAATGAATGACGACACCCCCCGCCCAAGAAAAAAGGTCAAATTAAACTTGATTTACTGGGACCATAACAGACATATCTGATCGGCCTGGACAAATATGGCCATTCAGCCTAGCTGGAAAATGTCATGGAGTTCATTACCGACAACGCTTGAAGGAGACGACTATGAGCCGTCAAACATATTTCGCTAAATAAAAATGGCCGTACCAGATTGACTAGCAAGCCCCTTGTGATATAGTGCAGGGTTCGGGAGCAAGGTCAGGATGTTCGGTATTGAAAGCTCCAACCGTTACATCAGGGATCCCGGTGGCAAAACTATAGCGACCGTTCGTGATGCCTGACATGAACAGACTTCTAGCCAGCTGTATTAGTTGTAGTAGAACTTTACGACTAATCCAGCTAAGGTGTTCCTGCCAGGCTCACCAGGAGACCTATTGGTCATTCATAATTTCGCTTACGCGGACATGGCTTCGTAATGAAAAATACTGACCTTAAATAAGCCACTCCATAGCCTGAACCCGATAAAAAATGTTGAAAGCCGCGTTAAGGCAACATTTTATACACTATCAGTCATACACCAAAGTCTCCAGGAGATAAATACAGCTAACATGAAGACGGCTTTTAGAAGACGTGTATCCGAAATTCGTAGATGAGTTACGATGTATAAAGCCCAACAGGTTTGGTCAATACCTACCGTGGGTGACTTCAAAAGAATTACCTACCCCAGGAGCGTTACGCATCAGCAGTAGGTGGCTCCTCATTCACTGAGTCAGCACACCGTCAAAAATAATCAAACACCGATCATTGCCTTCAAAGGTTTAATATGGGGGGGGGGGGTTGGCTGTATTCGAGATAAACACTATGCGATATTTATACATATGGCTGAGAACATTCAAGAGAATGACTACCTAAGAACCAGTCGGACTCGATGCACAAACGCTTCCAGTGAAATCAATGTACGCAAACTTTGTGGCTAAGGCATTGCCTTAGTGTTAACTTAGCGTTTATCACAACCCATACGCTGGACCATGCGGATTTATCCAGTTCAAAGCAGTGAGAAATCGATAGTGATTTACTAGCTGACTGGCGCTATTAGGTGTCCGTTACTAATGCATCTGACGGAAGGCTGTCCGGCTGCCTATGTCAGTGGGAAACGACAGCAAATGAATGACGACACCCCCCGCCCAAGAAAAAAGGTCAAATTAAACTTGATTTACTGGGACCATAACAGACATATCTGATCGGCCTGGACAAATATGGCCATTCAGCCTAGCTGGAAAATGTCATGGAGTTCATTACCGACAACGCTTGAAGGAGACGACTATGAGCCGTCAAACATATTTCGCTAAATAAAAATGGCCGTACCAGATTGACTAGCAAGCCCCTTGTGATATAGTGCAGGGTTCGGGAGCAAGGTCAGGATATTCGGTATTGAAAGCTCCAACCGTTACATCAGGGATCCCGGTGGCAAAACTATAGCGACCGTTCGTGATGCCTGACATGAACAGACTTCTAGCCAGCTGTATTAGTTGTAGTAGAACTTTACGACTAATCCAGCTAAGGTGTTCCTGCCAGGCTCACCAGGAGACCTATTGGTCATTCATAATTTCGCTTACGCGGACATGGCTTCGTAATGAAAAATACTGACCTTAAATAAGCCACTCCATAGCCTGAACCCGATAAAAAATGTTGAAAGCCGCGTTAAGGCAACATTTTATACACTATCAGTCATACACCAAAGTCTCCAGGAGATAAATACAGCTAACATGAAGACGGCTTTTAGAAGACGTGTATCCGAAATTCGTAGATGAGTTACGATGTATAAAGCCCAACAGGTTTGGTCAATACCTACCGTGGGTGACTTCAAAAGAATTACCTACCCCAGGAGCGTTACGCATCAGCAGTAGGTGGCTCCTCATTCACTGAGTCAGCACACCGTCAAAAATAATCAAACACCGATCATTGCCTTCAAAGGTTTAATATGTTATGGGGGGGGGTTGGCTGTATTCGAGATAAACACTATGCGATATTTATACATATGGCTGAGAACATTCAAGAGAATGACTACCTAAGAACCAGTCGGACTCGATGCACAAACGCTTCCAGTGAAATCAATGTACGCAAACTTTGTGGCTAAGGCATTGCCTTAGTGTTAACTTAGCGTTTATCACAACCCATACGCTGGACCATGCGGATTTATCCAGTTCAAAGCAGTGAGAAATCGATAGTGATTTACTAGCTGACTGACCTTTACGTGGTTTGGGTGAGAAAAAAAACAACTTGATTATGAAGACTATATTGATTGGGTGTCAGTTAAATCACCTACGACGGTCAAAATAGTCGACAATGTGACAGTCAGGCAGTTCGATTGTGCTCTGATCATGTCGTAAAGCATTTTCTGTAGTCTTCGTATAACAGTCACCGGATGATAGGATGAATGAGCCATGTGTGTTCACAACGGTCATAGCGAAGTCATGTGCTTTTCCCCATGAATGTATTCCATGTTGACCAAGCATCGGTCTCGATAAACTATCATCATCGATAGCATGACACCAGTGTTCAACACTGATGCGTCGCTGTCGTACAACCATGATTTAATTGAAAGCCTTATTGTGAAGAACAGAATAAAGGTGGACGGGGAAGGGACTTAGTGCTGGCTCACTACAATCATTCCGGGCTGCCTACATCTCCAAACACTCATTCAGGCAATCTGGATAGAAACTGACTACCACTGACATCGGTTGGCAGCGTCTCCAACCAGGCGCAGCGAGGATCACGCGATCCCCATCCTGGAAAGCGAGTAGCACCGACAGCACCCAAAAGTTTCGTGATTTCTTTCACACCCCTCTTCCATGTCAACGACTTGCCACCTCTCTTCTTCTGCCACTCTGAGTTGGGCATGGAAAACAACGCTCTCTTCGGCAGACAATGCCAAGTTATACAAAACACATGTCCCAACTAACGCAGCTTCTGGTGCTGGACACATTCTTCAATGAAAGTATCCGTTGCAAATTCAAAAACTCGCTTCCTAATTGTTGCGCTACGGATATACCGACACCAACCAACACGAGCTACGGTTCTGAGACAACGATTTTCGAAAACCTGAAGACGTCTCATTTTTGCTACCCTGTTCGGGCAGCGGAACTGGTTGACTGAGAATAATATTACCTTCAAGGACCCTGGGACCCTGGGAAGCCATAACCACGGACTAATTTCATAGCGAATTCTTCCCACACCCCTCTCAGAACATGTCGCAGCATCATCATCTAAACTTGTCTCACAGCAATCAATCGTACCTCTGTTTCTAAAGATTGCACATGGTCAGCTTGACACAGGTTTCTGACAGTTGTTCCTGATACATCATTAAGTTAAGTGTTCCTATTTGTACTCGAACTAGCGATTTTGGTTGCCTTGTTATTTCGTGCACACATTTAACCGTTGCTGACTTTGCACGGCTTTGGGAATCAACTCTGACCTTGTCACACCGAATCTGTCACCAGTTGTTCCCTCCAGCGATAATGTGCATGTACATGAGTGTCAAACCGTCGAACAACATCCACTGTACTGCACTGGATATGCTGGTCCAAGAGTAAAGAAACAGAAATTCAACAGTCTTCTAACGGATGATGGTCAGGTACGACAAACGAAAATCCAACTATGCGGTAGCAAGGCAAACGAATACGATACGCTTCCAACACAGCTCTCCAAGTATTATGACGTGATTTTGGAGAACGAACTTCATGTGACCTGCAACAACTGCTAGGAACAGAAGACCCCACTACAAGTCGAGGATACTTCAGTCTTGCTACTTTCCGAATAGAAGGAAGCAATATGTCACCGGATTCGTAGTGGGTTATTGGGCTGCTCACCTGTAGTATTGATATCCCACTGTCATTGTGACTTAACCACCTGAGTACCGAAGTGTTTGAATCGCATATCCTAGAGGAGCTATGCGGAACCCATACTGGTCGTAACATGATACACCTGGTAATTGCTGTATGGTGGCCTCTAGGAAAATTCCACTAACTCCTTTACCCGGCGAATACCAGTCCGTTGAATTCAGCGAAACTTTTGACTACATCAACTGGGGAATTCCATAAACAAGACTCCCCCAAATAAAGCGATCTAATAAAATTCACCAATCTCATCCAAAATCTACCTGACGGAATTGGAACGAAGGTCCACACGAATAGCCAAATTTCAAAGGGTCTTGAATTCGTCACTGATGTGGAACAGGGTACATCCTTGCTGCAGCTTCCGTCTAACGGCCACGGTGGATGCAGTTTTTCTGGATGCAAATGCTGGCACGTGGTTTGAGTGTCGGATTGATGTAGTTCTATTCAGTATTCGACATTCTGGTGCGAGAATTTCGGGCTGGCGAATTAAGGTCCCCATTCTTATGCTTGGAGACCACCATACTGTTTGCACATGTGAATGGTGGGCTTCAGCGTCTAGCTGGTACTTTTGCTGTAGCGTTGCCGAACAGTTTGGTCTGTGCATCATCTGGAAGAAGGCTTTCGTTATGCAGTAACCTGTGTCCGGTGGAGTCCTTGTCGTGCATTTACGCAGCAAGGACTAATGCTAGGACTTCTTTTTCCTTCGAATTTTGATGATCTGACCACCATATCTGAAATGAGATTTTGTGTTACCAAAAATTCCAACGTACTCTAGACCAGGCTGCTCTAGATCCGGATCCTATGAGTGAGGACCAGAATATACTTCTAAACGGGGTTCATCGGGTTTTTAATTGCCGGTTGCAAATCTCCTGCAGTAGTCTGGTGATGGTTGGTTAATTCTAACATCCACTGCGCTCATATGCAGTGTTCACCGTTCCGTTCCCCTTCCACCTGTCCATGGTTAATTCACTCTTTGTATATCTGTCCGGTAGAACTGACTACCTCGTTCGTTTTGCTTCGATTCGGACCGCAATGTCTGCGTGTGAGATGGCACTGAAAGCCTCAGGCGTCTCGTGTACTGCATCCAAGCATTAGTTTTGAACACTGATGTCATATTGTTGAAGATGATTATGATATCAGAACGTCATGCGGACGTATTCAAAGTTCGGCTTATTATAAGTGCAGGCCTTCGAGCTATCCGAGGCGACTATCAATGAGGTCAAACTTCAGGCTGTCCCCTTGTGTCTACAAAGCCGCACCTTGTTTCACTGGATAACTAAAGTTGTTAAGCCTAACCAGTGCCAGCTGGCCTTATGTATAAAACCACAGTGCGGCCCACCAAACGATATTCCGAATATGCTGTTTCCATCACTATGAAGTACGCGGCTGTGACTGGCTTCCGATCGAGCTGCACTGATTCGCATTATCAGGCTGTCCACTGTTTTCTTTTCTATCTCAAATCTATTTTTTGTATACTTTGTATTTTATTGTATTTTGGTGTTTTGAGTTGTTATTTCGTGCACAGTTCAGAATGTAAAAGAAACCAAAATGGGATTTGCTCACAAGGACAAGTTAGATAATACAAGATGTGTGTGTGGTGCGTATGAACAGCTTCTGACAGGAATAAAACAAAATGCGTAGGGCGATCTAAAGTCACACGAGATAACCACTAAATCAGACAGCTGTCAGCCTAAATAACAGACTGGTTGATTTGATTGGTGTCACCGCCAGACAGCCTCCGCGAGGAAAGTAGAGGACTGGCTATGTTTTTCACCACAACTCCAGTCTCAGTGGACGAAAATGAATGGTTTCTGGTCACTGGGTTGTTGATCACATCAAAATCAAGTTCTTGCGATTTGGGGTAAAAGCATCGAAAAAGTAGAAATAGGCTCCACAAAATTACATGACCACTCCACGGCACAATCTGGTCTAGGAGATATTTTGTTGAGATCTTCGGTCGTTCTGCCCCAAACCCCTTTTAGACTGCTTCGATTACCGAACGTGTGAACAGCGCTTTGATCGAAGTCTCTCACTTCCAGAGCAAAACTAACCTAACTCTGTGGTCTTGAACGGTTGTGTGTCAATGAAGCAGCTAAACTGACGTAACATAACGGAGGAGCAGGTGAGTAGTATGTTTTCTTCTTGTAAATTCACTTTGCGTCTCTTGAAAAGGAGATCTATTGCGGAATTTGTGGAGTCGCTTTGTAGCACTTGTTTGTAGTTGAGCAACAGTCAATGAATATACAGGAAATTTTTAGAAAGACTCATTCAAAGCGAAGATGGATATTCAGCTTTTTGTAAACAAGATGCATATGAGAGTTTTGCTTCCCTGTCCAATAGTCTGTAACTGTTCAGTTGACGTTTTCTATCGAATAAGTCCGCAGCGAAGGCCTTTTTTCCTTTCACTGGTATACTGCAAGTGCTCCCAGTTAGGCAGGGAACGGTAGAAGAAGCTGGTGAAGTCGTTCTACTGTGAGAGGCACGCGTCATTTCGCTCCATTATCCCACACCCCATTTCACCCGTATAAACGCATTGCAATGCTAGGTACTCCGCCATCTGGAGTTTTATTAACGAATCATTATGGAAAATTTTTTCACATTCCAAAACAGTCTGTCTACTCAAATCGAATTGTGTAGAGGTTTAGTGTCTGGAAAAATTCCATGTCAGACCCTCCGACACGGAAGTCATTCAGACTAACGGTGAAGGAAGAAGGCCTTCGATGCGGAGTTGTTTATTAGACTAATGGACAAAGAAGCGTCTTGTTTACAAAAACTGTATGTGAATCTTCTCCTTGAAAGTGCCTTCCTGAACCTTCCTGGATATTCATTGACTGCTACTCAAATGCAAGCAAATTCTACAAAGCAACTCCACGAATTCCGTAACAGATCTCACTTTTAAAGAGACGCTAAGCGGATTTACGAGAAGACATACTACTCGCGTGCCCCATCAACAGTATCCGCCGTTGCACAGCAGTAGCGTATTTCTTTCGCGGACTACAGACAGCGGACGATTCAGTTAAAGATAAGTGACCGCTTTTCAGAAGGAACTACTCCTGGTTTGTCCCCAGAGAACTCCACTACTGTTTAGGTCCACCGGGAAGAGGATGACTTTGACCACTCCGTGTATGACAACGAAAATAGTGTCAGTTAGTTAGAACTCACTTTCTGAAGTACTCAGAAGCAAACCTGGCTGTGATGTTGTTAGTCAGACGCGTAGTTTGTAGTAAACTTTGCAGAAAATCAGCTGTACGAGTTTCGAATCCCGATCACTATTCGACTGGGTGGACGGGTGGGATAGTCTTTCTCGTAAGGTATCAATCCCGGGCGAAGCATGACTCGACCATATCCACGAAGCTTTCGTCTCTCGCCGAGAGAGCTGAGACAATAGGCCCCGTTATAGGATATTCTTTCATGAAAATGCTTCCATTCTTGGTTCTTATCTGTTCGACCAAACGTTTTTAATGCACTTGACCATTTGTTATTTTGTCTGCCCACAAAGCTTGCAATTCATTCCTTTTTAGCAACTGGTCCTGTTTATCCCTCCGAACAGGCAGTAACCGTCATGGTGCAAGCACTCCTGGACAAATTCTTCAATGACACTTAAATTTTCATAACGGACAGATTCAAAAGGATTCATTTAAGTCTTCCTTTAACACCAAATCGCTTTTAAGTAGAGGGAATGTGCCTACCTGATGACCGTCAAGAAGGATGAAACCTGTTGTGCGTTGTCCAAGAATTTTCAGTAAACTTATGAGTAGCGTGTCCGCAAAAAAAATAAAAGCACCATTATTCAAAATTATTTTGAACAAAAATGTAACCACATCACCAGATCGGAACCTATCCACACCAACGCCTTTTAACTTGGCAAAAAGTGAGGTTCATAGTATCTTAAGGCGACAACTACAATGGACTTGAAATCTCATGACTTTGAGTACCAAATCCGACCTGCGGTAAACAGTTTCTGAGTAATTTCTTTTCACCGAATTCGCAAACTTGCAAGTGCAG